ACATACTCAAAAAAATCGCACATTATACCAGCACATACTCTTACACAAGCACACCATTTCCATAGCCATCAAGAAAATGACTTCACAAATTAGTTCAAAAAAACAAACACATCAATAATTATTAGAAAACGAGCAAAACAATTGTAGAGCGACCATGACCAAAAAATGAACCTTGGGTTTATAAGATTTCTTCTTCTTTGAAGATGGTTCTTCATCGATGTATCTTTTTCTCTTCAACACACTTTCTCCGGCCTTTGCAGAAATAGGAATATGATTTTGGTATCGAAGTCGGCGTTGGAATGAATAGGTCAACTATTTGATATTTCTAGGGTTGGAGTTTAAGATATCCACGAAATGAGAAGAAAGTAGGTCAGAAACATGGACTTGGTCGGCGCAACACCACCACCGTTGTCATACCGGCGACAGTAGAGAAGCGTACAACGTCTGTGGGATTTGAGAGATTTTGGGTTTTGTTTTGGGCGACCGCAGACGAGGGTGCAAGATATGTGGGGTTCGGGGATTTTGGGTTTTGTTATAAGTTAGAACGTAATTAATACGGCTTTGTGATGTTTAATTTAGTTCCCCTAATTAATTTAGAGTATTATTCTAATTAGGCCACTTTTTAGAGTATGGGGGCCTAATTTTCCCATGTTTAATTATATATAGGTGTTGGCCTGTCCAATTTCCAAACCATTGCCATTTTTCAAGATTCCACCCTTCCGTCGCTGCTTCTTCCTTCCTTCTGTCCGGTGACTCCACCTCCACCGGTCTAGCCATGCACCAGTCATGCCGGTGCGAGAAGCCGAAAGGTCCAGTGACTGGCTATATCCTGTCGAGTTTTTTACGCTGCCCGCCACCCCGTGATTTTTCTGTTTTTTAATTTTATTTATTTTTTTGGGTTTTGATGTTATTTTTTAGGGATAAAGCGATACCAAACATTTTACCTTTATGCAGACTTTGCCCAAATCTTTCATTTGTGCCTTCAGAGGTACCAAACCTTAGCACCCGGAGTCCAAATGGATGATTTCTATTAGTTGACTACAATAGTAAATTTTGACCAATTTTTAAAAAGGCTAAAATAGTAACTTTACAATTTTAATATAAAATACAATAAAAACTATATTTAAAAAAAAGATAAAAGGCTCTCTCTCCTTAACCTTTCTCATTCCCACCCCATTTCAAACGCCGGCACACCACCAACCACATCCACGTCGGTGTCACTATCGTTTCCGCCACCTCATCCATTTTCACCTTGATTTAGCGGTGGCAAAAAAACTTGGCGGCTCGGGCTCGGCTTGGAAAAAGCCTGAGCCGGACCCGACTCGGGCCAGGTCGTACCGAGCCGAGGCTCGGGTCGAGCCCCATTTGGGGGCACCGAGCCGAGCCCGGGCAGGCCCATGTGGCTCGTCGAGCCTCACGGGCCGACCCCTGTCACGGGCCAATTTTTGCCTGTGTCCACAAAAAAAAATTACACTGCCTGCACAGCAGGCAGCTACACGTAGCTGCCTCACACAGGCAGCTACATTTTGTAGCTGCCTGCGTGTAGCTGCCTCACACAGACAGCTACAGGAAATGGAGCTGTGCAGGCAGATGGCGTGCACGCTAACGATTGTGT